GGGGGACTTCAGGAGGGGAGCGGCTCTGTCTGGGCTCGGGCAGACAGTCCTCTGGGGCTCGGGGGGACTTCAGGAGAGGAGCAGCTCTGTCTGGGCTCGGGAGGACAGACCAGGAGTGGCTCTGGGCTGCATCAGTATTGCCATGAGGCAGGTGTCCTCAGGGCCACACAGGCTCAGAAGACCATCGTGAGAAAGACCATCACCTGCAGCCCGGAGACCCACTCCTTGTGGTTGTTGAAGCCGATACCCTGGCTTCTTTCCAGACACAGCTGGATGAGCTCCTCCAGTCAGGACAGGGGGCTATTCCGTACACAGTTCTCCGGGAAGTCCAGACGAGCCCCTCAGATCACTGAACTCCACACAGCGTCTTGCGGATGTTTACTCACCCGACAGGATTCTCCCCCGGATGGACACATTGCCAGTGAAAGGGCACTTCTTGTCAATGTAAGTTCCCTCGATGGCCTGCGGACAAACAAAATAATCTCGTCACCTTCCCAGCGGGCACCCCGATACAGACGGGAGCCCCTGACACAGCACACACGCCCCCAACACTGCCGAGAGCTCAGCTGGCACTCTGAACACCAGCTCTACCTGCAAGTGAAACTTCAACAGTACAGCTGAAATATCAACCATACTGCCTAGAGGGACTCAAGGGACTACACTTCTCTTATCTCAAGGTATTTTGGGGAGTTTCAAACTGTGACCGCTTCTCCTGGTTAATTATCTGAATTAAACGCCCGCCTAAAATTTAAATCTCAAACTGGATTCGAACCTGGACTTTAACTTAACCCGGGCTGCATCAGTATTGCCGTGAGGCAGGTGTCCTCAGGGCCACACAGGCTCAGAAGACCATCGTGAGAAAGACCATCACCTGCAGCCCGGAGACCCTCTCCCTGCTCACACAGAGCTTCTGCTGAGGGGTCCAGTCATTCATGATAACTATTCTGCTGGATGTTAATTAATCCCCTCTCTCAGGGCAGTGTTCATGTACTGGAGTGTCCAGTCAGTGTGTCTGTATGAACCCCTCTCTCTCTCAG